CCTGTTTCCCGCTCTTTGTAAGCAGTACCTGAACGGGTGGCGGTGCCGGCCCCCGCGTCCCAGCGGTTTCCCGTGGGTCTGCGGGTCTTCCGTTTGGTTTGAACGCGGGAAGAGCGGCATTGGGCCGCAGGCACCTGCGGGAAGCAGGTCGCCGGCGAGGCCTCGGCTCAGCCCGCTCTCCCGCAGGCACACCATCTTCGCCAGCAACACGTCGTCCCTGCAGATCACCAGCATCGCCAACGCCACCACGCGGCAGGACCGCTTCGCCGGCCTCCACTTCTTCAACCCAGTGCCAATCATGAAGCTGGTGGAGGTCAGTGGCCCCCTGCCCCGGATGTGTGACGCAGGGGCTGGGGCCGAGGGCGGACCCCGCAGATGTGGAGGAGCCCAGGTTCCTGCCGTGCTCTGGTTCTGCTGTTGCCCTTGGCGCCGCGCGTTTCTCTGCCCCGGGTGGGTCGGGGCTGTGATCATGGGGCTGAACAGGTGCTGTGGGAGAGCGCCGGGTCGCCACCATTCGCCTTTCAGGGTGAGCGGAGCCTTCCGTGGAGGGTCAGGGGCCGAAGCCCAGCCCGCCCACCCCGACTCGGTCGGAAGTTCCGCGCTGCAGCGCACCTATGAGCGTGTTTAAATTCAGTGGGTCCCCTCCCCCAGGCCGGGCCGGCAGGTGTGTTGGGGGAGTGTGGTTGGGGCTGTCCTCCGGTGACTCGCTGCCCACACCTGGAGGCCATGGAAGAGCGGGCCTCTGGACTCCTGAGTGTGACCTGAGCTACCTCGGGGCCCTGGGATGTGGCGCAGGCCCGGAAGGGAAGCAGGTACTTGAAGCCCCACAGGACCAGCACTGCGTCTTGGTCGGTTTCTCCAGGGTGCAGCCGGCTGGAGCCTGGATCTCAGTCAGGGCCTGCAGAGCCGCTGCTCGTGCCGTATGCCTCAAGCCTGGCTGAGCCTGCAGCAGGGCACTGCCTGACAGTGGCGTGCAGGTGGCTCTTGCCTTCTCTGAGAACCCCATATTGCCCAGCACATCTGTCCCTGAGGGCTGTGGGCCCTGATGCTGCTCTGCCACAGGTCATCAAGACGCCCATGACCAGCCAGAAGACGTTCGAGTCGCTGCTGGACTTCGCCAGAAAGCTGGGCAAGCACCCTGTGTCCTGCAAGGTACAGTGTGGCGGTGGGGACCCAGAAGGTGCCTGGGTGATGAGCCGGTGGAAACTCCCGGCCCAGTGTGCCCAGCGGGAGATGCCTGCCCCACAGGAGCCCAGAGGGGCACCCTGTGGTCTCTGGGACTCTGCGCCCACTGGCTGGGACCTGCAGGCCCTGCTGTCGTGAGCTCTTGGCCGGCCAGCACCCATGCCAGTGTCCTGTGCGCTACTGGGGGAAGAAGCGGCGTCGTGCTGGTGATTTGGGCCTCGCTCATCGCCTGCTGCCTCCTCTTGGCTGTGGAGTTAAGCAGCACAGCACAGGTTCCGGCCGCTCTAGAGGACCTGGGCCGTGGGGGAGCAGCACTGTTCTGGCATCGGCTGCTCTGACCTCCAGTGCGGCCTGACACTGGCTGGCTTGCTGGGCCCTGCTCTCTGAGCTGCTGAGAGCGGCACGGGACAGCCTGAGGGTCGCCTTCCTGCTGCCCGGGTCTCAGCCAGGCCGCAGTGCTGCCCCCTCAGGCCGGGAGCCTTGGTGTGTCCTCGGTGGTGGGCAGTGTCACTCGGATGCTCCAGCCAGTGGCCTGGTTCCTGTAGATGAGTCCAGGCCGCTCTGGGGCGATGGTGCTGCTTTGCTGGGGAGAATGTGGTGACTGTGCGGTAAGGCTGAGCGGTCACAGGGCCAGGACTGGGGGCCCCCGTGAGCAGAGTTCTCCACCTGCACCGGCCCGGCCTGCTGCCCTGTGCACGGGACCCTGGGGACAGTGACCATCCCTGCACCCATCCGGATTCTGGAGGGGAGTGGGAGAGGGGGGAAGGGGCGCTGCCCCTGGGGTGGACTGAGGTGTTCAACAGGGCTTGAACAGAGGAACGCAGGTGTGGCACGGGTGGGTAAGGAGTCTGTCCTCTGCTGCAGGACACGCCCGGCTTCATCGTGAACAGGCTGCTGGTGCCCTACCTCCTGGAGGCCATCCGGCTGCATGAGCGAGGTACCCGCTGGGGTCTGGGCTGTCGCTGTCCCTGCTCCCGGCTGGCCCCCAGCAGTGCAGAGGTCCCAGAGCCTGTGACAGTG